TGGGCCGATTTCGACTGGAAATTCACTGAACGGGAGCTGACATAGACGGGCATATTATACTTAACTGTTTGATCTTAATATTGCGTAGACGAACTAAAATCCTAGCAAAATCGAACTATTTACGTGTCGGATGCCGGGAATTTCCGGTCTCTAACCATATAACTGATAAGACCGTATGATTAATTAGTCTTTATAACATGTTAAAGCATACAAATGTGTATTATTTTCAAAACTAAGTAACAATGTTTTATAGAAATGAAGGTTTTGCTTTTGTTCTTTGAAATAGCACAAAAGGACTTTCTTGAGAACCTCTTTACTCTATACTATTGAAAATTATCAAGGCCTTTGTCAAGGTCAACTATCATACTAATATTATAAATGCGAAAGTTTAGGTGGATGGATAGAAGTTTGTTAGAGTTTGTTTCCTAAACGGCTGGACGGATCTCGATGAAATTTGGCATAGACGTAGACGATAGACGGAAGAATATGTAGGCAACTCACTTTTGCATTTTTTTTAATTTAACGTGGATTGAGTCGCGGGCGAAAGCTAGTTGCAATATAAATTGAATTCCTTGATTGTTTTCAATGTGCAACAATGTATGCATTTTCCACACAGCTTGATATAATAAACATACTCCAATCACATCAATTGTTCCATTGAGAGTGCTCGGAGTGGAACAATAGATATGACTTTGGACGTTGACAACTGAATTGGCATCGAGACAAGACGCAGCAAAAAAAGAGCGTAGGTGTCTCAGGAGTGTAAGCACTTGACTCGTAATCTACAGGTCAAAGTTCCAATCCTACCATGTACCAATGTGACTTCCTTATTTCATAAGTAATTGACATTCTAACATTGAAGGACAATTTAATGCCTGCACATATCAGCGAAGAAATTCAAAGATATGTGCGTAGTCAACCCACACTGGGCCAGCGTCGACTAAGGCATAGTCACCCCTTACTAGTCGTTTTGGTAGACTCAGGCCTTTAGTGGGCATTTAGTGGAATGTTAAATAAAATAACAATATAGCACTTATGTTAAATGTAAATAGGTCTTAATTTGCATTTGATATAACCAACGGTTGTAAGTATTGTGTATTCATGCCGCATAGAACTAAACACGGATTTCGATGGACTTTCACTACAAGCCATATCTAAGCTTAGTAAAAATCTGTATAAACTATTACATTTTCATATATTTTACTAACAGTTTCATACTGTTGATTGTTTTAAAACTTGTCCTGCTATTTGCAGTGGGAACACTTCATACTATTATTATAAATGCGAAAGTTTAGATGGATGTTTGTTAGAGTTTGTAGCCTAAACGGCTGAACTCAATGAAATTTGGCATAAATGTAGAGCATAGTCTGGAAAAACACATAGGCTACTTGCTTTTTTATTAATTACATGTGAGCGGAGTCGCGGGCAAAAAGTTTATGCATACATAAACATAGCTTTCTCGTTAATTCACGGGTTTAATGTGGTTATCACACACATGTAGATTAGAATAAATCATCAATTCAGATTATTATGAAAATTTAACTATAAATGAAGTAGTATGTAATTTAAAAATACATACAAACAAATACACAGTCAAATGTAATGTAAGTGCAATTGGCGTAGTAACCGCATGAGTTTACTGTATAGCGCCCGATTAGTGAGTGGTTCGACGTTTAACTTGCATACGCTTGTACCGGATTTAAATACCTACACAGAATTACACACAAGTAACGGATTACAAGTGTAGTCTGTTATTTAGCGAGAATTTTTTATTAATATCCTGCTCAATAGGACCAAAATTATTTTAAATTAGATCATACTGTAGAAGGCATTGGGGAAGGAAGTTCAAGAGATGACTGGTCTTAATAAACTCATCTCTATATATGTATTTATGTCTATATTAAAAATCTATGATGATATTTGACTATTTTCTTACAAAGACAAAGCAACACAGAAATTAATAATAAAAAGAAGCATCTTAAACTTTCTCATCCTAAAACGGGATCAATTTACTTAAAAATTACATAGACAAAAAATGCAGTTTCTTCTAAAGACCACTACATATGTTCAGTTTTAACTGAAGAATTTAAAAATTCAATTAAAGTTAACCCTACACACACATAGTTTTAACCGAACAGTTTGACTCTTCAGTCTGAATTGTATCTATGTAACATTTACTTGTAACTCAACATAACAGAGCCATCAAGTAATCAGTAGCTAGATAATTACAGTACTTGCTAATGAGTACATATTCAGAGGACTTTATTATTCACTTGCGTCACACTTAGCGTACCGACATGAAACTGACGCCATTCATTACTAAATAACTTTTCAACAAGCCCTGACATTTCAGTATTCATGTGATAAAATTAATTATATAGAAGTTTTATTATAAAAATTAACAGATGTTTGTTCCAAGTTATCTCTAAAACGAATGCATGAATCTTGACGAAATTTAGTACAAATGTCTGGAAGAATGCATAGGCTATTGTTTTTTTTTTAATTCCGCGCGGACGTCGTGGGCAAAAGTTTATTAATAAATATTTATGACTTGTCACAGGATGTATTGCATGTATTTGCATATTTTATGAATGCAGTTTGTGTTATTTGCATTGTGACCTCTTGTAGCATATACTAAGCTAATTTTGATGTGTGAAATCATTTGATTCATATTAATTTCCAAACTATTATAGCATTACAGTCTTTTAAATTCATTAGACATTATAATATGGTTTACCCCTGCGACTATATGGGTGGAACTAAAAAAACAAAAGTAAGTAGCCTATGTATTCTTCCAGACTATTTCAACATCTGTGCCAAATTTTATCAAGATCTGTTCAGCAGTTTATGCTACAAACTCTAACAAACATCTATCCATATGAACTTTGGCATTTTTTTATTATAAGGTGGCATACAAGCAAGCAGCCACCTGAAACCGAAATGGCGAAGCGACCACTGCCCATAGGTAGAGGAGGAGACGCACATAAAGGCAATATTTCCCTTTCCTATGCATCTCATCTACCATCAAATTCACTTTTTATTCCCATCCTATCCTCTTAAGCAAAGGGGCTCTACCACTCTTAAAATAATTTATAATATTAGTTTGATTAATTACATTTCTTTAACACTGAACATTTCATTGGAAGAATAAACATTGCTTATCACAAGGTTTTTCATATCTTTTTTCACTACTCTACAATATAAACAATTACATACATAGTAAAATAAAAAATAAAACGACTGAGGATGACATCAGCAACTTGGAAAGATCCATTAAGTAATGACCTAGGTAATAAATCTTTATTGGCCCTGAGTCACGACATAAATAACATTAAAGGGTTCAAAGATAGTGTTCACTAAATGTGATTTTTGGATGTAGGACTTGTATACAGATAATATCTCTTTCATTGTCTTAAGAAATACATACAACAATAGGTCATAATAATGGTATTTTATAGTAATTGTTTTATCACATGTGACAAGGAGAATATTAGTAAGTGTGGAAGGGTACACCGGTAGAGGTAGACCTAGAAAGAGGTGGATGGATCGTATGAAAGGTAACATGATCAAAAAGGGGGTGATGACTGAGATGAAGTATGATAGTGTTATACCCTACGAGAGTAGGATAAGGAGGAACTGTTGTATCAAAGTGTCCACTTAAATAAGCTTGCAATACTAAACACCCTTTAATTATCACTTGCTTTTGCCTACATCTTTGTCTAAACATAATAAAAAACTTAGTAATCTGTTTTCCAGACTATATGCTAAATCTGTGCCAAATTTTATTGAGTTATATTAAGCCAATTTGGTCATAAGTAACAAATATCCAAATATAAAACTTTTCCATTTATTAGTATGATTTGTATCACATATTGTTTAAGCATGTCACCCCCGTCCCCACCCAAAGTAACATTCTAGCTATATTTCCAATCTATCTAACCATAACTAGATTCACCGAGATTAATTTTAGTCACAATTTTTAAGACAATCTTCCTTACAATGGTATATTTCTATCTATTCTACATTTATATAAGAATAAGTTAATAATATTATTATATCATGACAATGAAATAGTGACATTTGAACATTGTCATATCCCAAGGCATATAAATCCACAATTTATATAAATAATGAATGAACTTGCATTGTCTACTGTTACTCATATCATGAACAAATTACATTATTTCAATAGACTACCAAGCAAGTGTAACAAGGGAAATATTTTCTTTAGAATTGCTTGATACAATAAAATATTTTTAATAAAACTTATAACTTTATATCAAGGTTTAAATAGGTTACAAATACTTCTAGATATTACAAACTAATATTATAAACGAGCTGTTGCCCAAGACTTCGTCCGCGTGTTATTAGAAAACCTATGAACTATATAAATAACAAAAAGCTAAGTATCCCTCGGGAACCGGACACCTCGGGGATGAAGCTTATCCCATGTATACCCCAGACTTTGTTTTACATCTGTGCCAAATTTCAATAAGATATGTTGAACCGTTGCAGATTGATCGAGTAAACATTAAAAAACTAAATGAATCCCACTGGAACCGTAACTTATCCCGGGATAAAAAGTAGCCTATGTGTTCTTCCAGACTATGCTCTAAACCTGTGTCAAATTTCATGGAGATCCGTTCAGCCGTTTAGGCTACAAACGCTAACAAACTTCCATCCATCCATCTAAACTTTCGCATTTATAATATTAGTAGATGTTTGTTATAGATGTAGTACTTTCTGTAAGAACATATAGGCTACCTATGTTCTAGAAATTTGTAGACCATAGGATAATTGAGTTACATATTTACTTAATACCCTTTCTATTTGACACATTTATTGAAATTTGTTTATAGAACACTAGCTTTTGCTTGCAAATTTGTATTTGTTTATAGAACACCTGCTATCGTCCACATCAAAATAAAAAAAACAAATGTAATTAGCCTATGTATTCTTCCAAACTATCCTCTATATCTATACCAAATATCAACCAGATCTGTTCAGCCGTTAAGGCTACAAACTCAAACAAACATCCATCCATCTAAACTTTCTCATTTATAATATTAGTAAGAAATAAGATAGTCTCTTAACATATGAGATACTTTTCACCATTATCTGCGCAATAAAGCCACAGACAAAAGCCAGTTTATGATTGTCTGTTTAGACAAATATTCATCAAAATTTTTGATTATAAATATAACTGTTAGCAATAGACAAAGACATCATTTAGTTTGTGAGACAGAACAAAACCCACATACATCCTAATATGGTTTAAGGAAACCCTCTTCATATATGAAACAATTATAAATGAAACTCATGTTTATATGCTCATATATGGTTTAACAACTCCCACACAACACACCTATTGATTTTATTCACATTGTTTATAGTAGATACTAGCTTTTGCCCGTGACTCCATCTGTGTAGATTAAAAATAAACAAAAGTAGCCTATGTGTTCTTTCAGACTATGTTCTATATTTATGCAAGTTAATTTGATAGCATATCTATGACTGTATTTCTGTAGAATAAATGCACATTGATATGTAAAGTTTTGCCTTTTAGAGCAAAGTTTATGTAAAAAATGTTTATTTCTTGATTATGACTTATTATGTTAGGGTATGCTAAGAGCCCCTCGGTGGGGACATATTGTGAGCAGATGTTTGTTTTTTATTATTTTATTCTTAAATAAGTATATGAATTTTACTATCTAGCAAATGATAATATGTATAGTACATTTGACTTAATTGAAAGTAAGACAATGTTTACTCTTGTAAACAAAACATTTTTTTTCTGGAAATTTCTAGTGTATTACTAGACGGTTTTTTCTAAGCTATTTTGGATAAAGAGATGGTAATAAATTACTTTTGGTAATTTAAGTTGCTTTTTTTACTTTTGTACAGTGTTATTTTTTATGTAATGGATGTTATTTATAAGTATTTCGAAAAGAGAATTTCTCGTTTTCATTTGCTTCAACGGCATTTCTATACTACCTGGTATTTAATTATCGCATATTTAAAGTAGAAATCCATGTTTATCGACACCGATATGTATAATCGCAAGTAAATCCTGATTGCGTATACAATGTTTATAACTTTTATAGCGACATATGTGTATGGAACATGATGTCATCTCATATCCGAACAATTGAGGTTACTCACTAAATATTAAAGTGCCACACAATAAACTATTTCCTACCGAGTTTCAAAAGGATGTAACATTGTTACCCTATCGTTTATTAGCATAACTGTTTGATTTCAACAGGAAATTGGAAAATAACTGAGTATTTTTAAATCATCGAATGTTCTAAGTAACAAAGCTGATCTGTCAAGTCTCACAAAGTTCGCGAATCGGACGCTGTTGTTACGAATTGTACAATCGAAAATAAGTAAAACACTAACTTTGTTTTATCAGGAAACTCGCTTCTCGATCACATACGAAAGTAGGCACGGCCTTTGTAATCCGATGTAAAAATACGTTCCGGAGACATTTCCATCTAGAGATTTGACCTTTGCAAGTAAAACACTTCCTTACACGAATCAACAAGCACAGGCACTATCAATTTTCACGTTTGTTGTATGGAAATAGGAAAAATAATTGTTATATGCAATAAGTTACACTCTTTACACAGAAAATCTCACCGTTTCAAAATCACTCGAAAAATATTCGGCAATGTCGCGCATGCCCAACATAAATTTACATCACGTGACCTGTCATGGCGTCAAGACCGTAACTTTTTTAAAATGTTGCAACGTCAAACGAATTTATATCGAAGTTACTGTTTCTATTTCAAATAAAGGATAAAATGTTTTAGATTATTCAAAAACATTATGAAGCAAAATCTCTTATATTAAAACCATTTTAATGATGTTGAATTATGTGTGTAATAATAATATTTTTCGGTCCATTTAAACTCGCCTCGCTTCTCTCGAAACATATTTTCTTAAAACGTTCCTGGAGTTACTAAAAGATGGCGTTGTAAACCAAAAAGTAGCTACCAGTGCGAATTCGAACAGTCTTTTTTACTCACTGTAGATTTGTAGATCCCGTATCGTATTCTATTATCATGGGACTACCTTAAAAGACACCATAAACAAAACTAGCATTTTCATTTTGAACAAACAACTTTTTATTAATAACAATCACATTACAAACATTTTGAAAAGTTTGTGTAAAAAGAAACACTTAAAAATCATTGTGTAAAAAACAACACGAAGGCATCGGGTAAAAATCTTCACAATTACATGAACGTCGTCTTCTTCGACGCATGGGAGCTTCGCCACATTTACAACGAAGTCTGCTTAGATCTCTTTCTCTTTCATATTCCATATCATAGTCATCTCTGTCATAACGGGCACTATTATAATTTATAGGTTTTCCGTAAGGTGGTGCTGCTTGTATTGCGGATATGGCACCATTGGAAGAGCCATATTGTGATTTAGATCTAGGGTCATAAAAAAAGTTATTAGAATTGCGCTGTGAAGGATCGCGTAAGGAATAATAATCATATCTTTGTTGGTCAACTGAAGGGTTCCTATAACGACTAACTTTAGTACTATTAGGGCTTCCTTCAAAAAATTTACTAATTTCATTTAATTCTTCGGGTGCAAATATTTTTCTTCTTTGGCTAGTGTTTGGATAACGTTGTGATATTTGTTGAGAATTAGAATTTCTAGGACGTGAGGATAGGGTTAAATAGGCTTCGTCACTGCTGGGTCCCGGCGTTTGACTGGTGCCTAATATACCTTTATCTATTGACCTTCTTGTTGGCTGCAATTTCACTATTTTATCTTCATATGGAATTTGATCTTCAAAACGAACTCTTTCACCATTTTTTGACAATCTAACATTTTGATTACCGTACGGCATTCTATCAAAATCCTTAACTTGCGAAGAGCCATTGATTGAATTGTCAATTTTCTGTACACTTGAATTTAATGGAACGTGTTTTTTAAATGACTCATAGGTTAAGGAATTTTCTCTTTCTCGTCTACCTTTTATTCTTCTAGCAAGATCTTCAACCATATAATTGATATTTAAATCTTGGTCCTTTTCAAGTCCAACCGCTTTGTCAGATAAAAACACACTTATTTCGTGTTTCATTTCTCTTTCAGCCCCGGGACTGTCTAAACTCAAATTCACATCCATGCCATGAATTTTGTTTGCTAATGCCTGTTTTAATATCCTTCTTCTATTGACGTTCATGCCTTCAGTTGGAGCTACAGGTAATTCATTAAACCAGGCTTCTATCTCGTTGTTTATTTCAACTAAATTAATTTCTTGTTTTTCAATATCATTATTTGGAATAGGCACACCTTGAAGTTCTTTAAATACTATTTCATTTATACTTTCGATTGGCAGCTCCAGAAACGGTTTTCTTTCTTTTCTTTTTACACATTCGTATATCTGGTTTGTGCGATTCATTAATCGTTGCAAGTAAACTTTCATTTTTAGAGGACTTTGTTCCCGATAGTTTGTTGCAGCCATATATTTCTCAGCCATTCTTAAAGCACTCAATTGTTGAGAATATTCATCATCCAATCTTTGCTCTACCATTAACTTGCGTCTGTCTGATACTTGATTAAGTTTTTGCTTGAATTCTGAATCGTCTTTTGTTTTGTGCATGAACTTAAGTATTTTAGTTGCCTCCATCACTATTTTTGTTTTCCATCCTTGTCTTATTTTCTTCATATCTTCTGTTTGAGGGAGAATATCTAAGAGTCCATCGATTTCATCCTCGAATGTGAACTCGAAGTACGTATAATCGTTTTCAACATGAGAGTCTTCTATCAGCATATAGAAAAGTTTTAATATGTTGTGTAGTACTCCTTCTCTGGCCAATTCTGTTAAATCAGGATTAGTCGCTAGAATAGGTAGCTCTTTACAGTAATTGCGAAATGTCTCCACACAATACTCATGTAGTTGTTGTCTTGTTGCATTTTCTGGGATGTCTTTGACATTCTTTTGATTTGACTGAAGGGAAGAATTCGGCTCTGAAATATTATATTAATCAATTGTTGATTACCACTTTAGAAGAAGAGTTTTTGGTTAGAATATTTTTAAAATATATTATGATTAGATCTAATAGGAGTAAGATGTAGTAAGTTTAACAATTGTATTTTAATTAAAGTAATGAATAATGTTGCATACCTTTTTTGCTATCATTTGCAGCATTTGTAGTGGTTGTAGTATTATCCGGATTATTTGCCTTTGTTGTTGTAAGTACTATTTTAATATCACCAGCTTTATTACCATGTTCTTTGTTTAGATTATTCCATCGATTCGGACATTCTCCGCTTTTGCAATTTTTCCCACAGCAACATTCAGCCTCATGTTTCAACAAATCTCTGGGAAGTATTTTAAGTATATTTTCGTCACAAAACATTAATTCCGAGTAAATATCATTCATTACGCTTTTATCTGCTTTATAATGTGATCCTGGTAGTAAAGCAGGTGGTTTGGGTGTGTTACATTCATTTACTTGAGGAGTATAAGCAGTTGGCGACTGTTCGTGGTAAATTTTTGTTTGACAATTCGCTGATGTATTCAAATGGAAAATATTTAGCACATCTTTTGTTAATTCTGATAACTTATGAGCCAATTCAAAGTTTCTTCCCGTCATCGGAAGGAATAAATGCTTACAAATAACGCATTTAAGATAATCAGCAACAGATTCTCTGGTTGTGTCAGTTGATTGTTGATTTAGTAGCGTCAGTTGTGTAGTTATATCTTCTGTCAGATTTTTTAAAACATTATCGTAGCAGACGTTATCTTTTATTGTATAAATTCCAAATTTCATAAACCACTGCCTAATTTGACTCTCGATTTGCTCAGGAATGGTTCCAATGTTTTGTGTTAAACTTTCCTCTTTCGTTTTATTTTCTTTTTTCGGTTCTTCAATCGGTAATGGAGGTGATGGAGGTGATGGAGGTGATGGAGGTGGTGGAGGTGATGAATTATCCTTTTCTTGAACTGCATCTTGTCTTGAAGTTTGAGGTTTCTCAACATCAGGTAAGTTTTCTAATTCATTCTTCTTTTCGATTTGTTCTACATTTGTTTCCACTGTTTGTTTATTTTTAATACTCGTTAATAATTTTGTACCATCCCGCAAATTCATCTTGTCCATTTTTTTCTTAGTAAGTATAGCTTTATTTCGAGAGGAATCATGGATCATAATATATGTATCAGATATACATTTGACTGGCGACAAACAAGGTCGGGACTTTCGATGAAAAATTTTCAACTCATTGTCATAAGCTTTTGTTGTACAAAATCTGTTTAAAAGCATACTTGTTACATAATTGGCTTGGAATTCTGAAGATGATTGTATTTTTTTCAAAACTTGGTAAATATTTACTATACTTTGGAGTTCTATATCAATGGATTCATTAGATTGATTGTTAATGTTTTTACATAAATTGTCGACAGTTTTAGTTTTACCCAAGTTTCTTATAGCAATGGGATATCGACGACATTTCTTACTTTGATCTTGGGTTTTCTGGCACGCGTGTTGTGATTTCTTAATATCGATCACTCTCTGTTTTCCTAATTGACGTAAATTTTGAAGACTATTTCTAGAATCTTCCAAATATTTGTATTCAATTTTTGATACAACCCCAACTATATCTTTGATTATTTTTGATAATATAAAATTGACCACTTCATTTTCATGCTCTTTAAATAAATGATATTTGAGTATCGGCAACATATCGTCTTTGATTACTCGCTGTATTTTTACAGCTTCATTTGAATATTTTTGCCAAACAAGATCAAGTGTTTCTTTTTTAAAATCAAAAGATTCTGAATCAACATCTAATGAGTCAACATCACATTGTTTTATCAAATCATGTATTAAAGTGTCCTTCGAATTGCTCTGTTTTCTATGCTTTAATATGCAATTTAATATTTTACATAAAACCTCTCTTAGTTTCTCTTCGATTTTGTCATCTTCTGAGGTATTTAATTCTTTGATAAGATCTAATAATTCGGTTTTTAATCTTTTATGTCCACTTGCGTTAGCTTCATCGTCCCTAGTCTTTTGTGTTGAAGTTTTACGTTTACTGGTTGATGGAATTGGGATTTTTGTCTTTTTTGGTTTTCGGTGCGCCTTTGTTTTTTTCTTCGGTCTCAATTCTATCAAACTATTGAAGGTTTGCATGGATTTATTGTCTCTCAATGAATTTGGACGGATATGTATGGGTTCGAGAGTTACGTTACTGCTTTTGCCTTTTGCTAAATTTTCTTCACTATCCAGCTTTGACGAAGGTAGCTGTAAAAGGTGACATATGAGGTAAAATGTGTTTGTTCGTTTCAATATTTTTACTTCATTCATTGCTCTCATGTCATATTTCTCAATATCGCTTTCAACTTTCATATCTTAATTCAATCCCTTCCAAATCGTACTTTCAGAAAATTGTTTATTATATCTTGACTATTTTTTTAATAAAACTCACCTCTATATACGACGATTCATTAAGTGTGGCAACAACAGAGGCCGCATCTGGAATTTAAGGTATTTTATTGTAGTTTTTTTATATTAACATGAAACATGGGAATCGTAAATTCAAGGGGTGCTTCAGTAAATAGGCTCCGAAACTGAAGGAAGTAACATTATTATTGAGTAATATAGACAATGAACCTTGCTTTTTTTGTATGTATATATTAGTAGATTTTGTTTATTTACTAATATTTCCTTTAAACATTCCAACTAAGCTGTAGGCTTGTGTTAGGACATGGTTCACGACAATAGTCGAATGGATATTCTCGACCTCAAGATCGGTAGCCTGTACCCATAACCTTTAGACTATTGACGCTTCATTACTGCCTTTGTTATTTGGGTAATGGATGGACCATCATAGGGAAGGGGTATGACAGAAAAGGGAGAATTTATAGGATGTTTTTTTATCACCTAGTCGAAGTTGGGGATTGTAAGGGGCTAGTAAGGGTTGTTTTAACTACTTTTTACTGATAAATAATGTAATTAGTTTTACCAACTTTGCTACCATGCATCCTCGTGTGTGAATTCATTCTCTGCAAATAAATTTATTAATGCCGTTTAATGATTACTACAACTATCTTCATATAAGCAACAAACTTGCTTACCAGTATTCTTGACCCCTAGCTACAGATAGGGTTCATTTTCTAAATGTTCTGTTTAAAAATCATCCTCGCAACATCCACAACAGCAGTGAAACTGCAATTATTATGGACTTTGAGGCAGTTAACACTTCCACTGCGTATCAAGACTAACAAGAGCACCCGAAAACGAGCCCGAAAAGAAGCGACAGAGGTCCCCACGCCAAAAGCTCCATATTATCTGCCTATCTCTCTGGGTGACAGGCGTTATCTTGTTTTGCGGATCGTTCAAAATCGAACCGACGTCTACTCTAATTTTAATTTCTCATAGTTACGAAACGATTATACGATTATTTTTTATTTATTTATTTATTTATTAAGATAAACCAACAGGACAAAATTATAACACAGACATTTTTACACAATACAATAAGTAACATGCAGATAATTTGTCCTAATTATAGGTTTACACGATTATAATAGAGACAAATAAAAATTTACTATATTTTGTGTTGTCTGCAAAATAGATACCAACAGAACGATCGCGTCCACTCCAGTTGAATGAATTTGTGTTGCAGTTAATGTGTTAAAATGTGGAACGTTATTGCTAAAGCTCTGGGATATTATTAATTATTCCGGAAAGACAATTACCTACCTGCTACGTTTAACAACAGATATAATAAAACAAATGACAATCCTATTGCTTGACTTTGAGCGTAGAGTTTGAAAAAATATATAGAGGAAGCATATTTGCCCCAATACTTACGACATTTTTCACATACCCCACTAACGCTATCTATTGATAGGTCCTCAAAACCCGCATGTTAATACATTTAACAAAAGATGGAGCTATAATTTTATAAAATGTTTTATAATGTCCATACAAGGATGTCCTTGTGCTACGTTAGTTCCACCACTTTTCAAAGAAGTTAGCGGTAAAATGTTGATCCCTATGTCTAGTCTATTATATATTTCTTAAATGTCTAGTTTTGACCCAGTACATGATAAAGGATGCATTTTTGATACTTTTATTGCTAGATGAAATAAGTGCATATTACTTACATGATATGGACTTTTACTATCGATGCCTCTAGAAGTTCCGTAATACATATCATTAATGTGTTCATGATATTTACACAAGTTCTCGTATTCATGAGGCAGCAGACCATCGTAGCGTGTCGGCGAAGTATCGTAATGTCTTGTTTTGTGTTCAAAATGTTTGAATCTAGGATATCTGGTGGTTGGTGTTACTTGGTAGCATGTCAGACAATCATTTGGACTGTTTATTCGTGAAGCTGAAATTAATAACGAATTATACTGGTTTGGATAAACTTAAGTTCGTTCAAGAGCCTGTTACGTTAGTTTGCTCTCTCTCAATATAAAAATTCCAGAGATATTGACAACCTCCTGCTTTACGTCATCGAGAACGTTGGTTAACAACCGGACAGCAGTGAATTCAAAGTTAAGATTACAGTGGGTTCCTACTGCAAGAATCGTTTCCATGGCAGCAGGCCTACTAGTACCTTAGTACTCACAAGTGGCGAGCCATGTTGTGTTGTAGACAAAATTATAAATACCTCGCGGTATAATCAAAAATGATTCGATATCGAATTTCAGATTTTCTTAGAAGACTAAGCTTCAAAAAAACTGAAGTATTAGTACTTAACTAGATAATAAAATTTATCTTACAGTCGGAAGGCTTTGTGTAACTGATGAGTCGCTCGAATACCTCGGAGGATGGCTCGGGGCCCACACTCGGATATCTCCGTAAAGAGCTTGCAAACGCGTTCGACTTTGACTGCG